CATATTATTTGCTATTAACGTTATTATACATCAGATCAATTCAACGCTGGAAGTACCACGTACCAATTGCACTGTTCTGTGCCTATGTTAATATGTAATTTTATAAACGTCGAAGCACTGCTAATATTTTTCGCTATAATCAACAAAGATATTTATATTTTATGTGTTTCCTGCTGATCCTCTAGACGAAATGGGTTTAACGGCCTCCTTTTATGCACTAACCCTGGGAGACCCCCATTGTTATAAGCTGGGTTCGCATTATTCATTTCAGCCTGTGTGCCAAATATTGTGCAAGTTTATGGTGACTTTATTAATATAAATAATATACACAACTAGAGATTATTGAGACCTACAATTATCGCAGATCGATTTTCCGGGCTCGTTTTTGTGATTACTTATATGGTTTTATGACTTTAGTGAGTGCTATGATGTGTAATGGAAATTTTGTCTTTGATTACTTCATAGGGTTTATTACGTACAATAACTGTCGGTATCTCATTTGCATATTTCCAAAATTAATTGCATATTACAGGCAAGATTTCACACACTCACAAATATAGAACCAAAATATAGTCCAGGTTCTTTTCTTGTAACAACGTATGAGAGTTATTCATTCACGTACCCTTCTCATTTCTTAATATATTTCCAGCTGGTTTAAAAACATAATTTGCTTTCACCCATTTGTTAGTCTTTTCATCTAGTTTACATCATTGTAAAATGTTAATATGTCAAATCGTATGTAACTAACTTTTTCCATGATAAAACAACTGCTTGCTAATCTTTGAAGAATGATCTTCAGTAAACTGACAAAACACGTCCGATTGAAATCTAAAATACCTAATCATGTTAACCAGTATCTTTAATTCAGATCGCTCTTTCAACAACTGTCTGATTTATCGGCAATTAGCACTTTAGGTTTAGATAGACACGCGATATATGTTGATGATAACTTCAAGTTGGATTTAGGCAGGGCGTAAAAAAGAATAATGAATTGCAACAGTTGAATATATTTATTCTCTGTTAAGCAAGCCATTTATTGCGGGTGGAACTGGATGTATGACCGCCCAGTGCATGTTTCATGAAGCCAGAATATAGGTAACACAGAATATACGTTTATCTATATACAGAAAAGGAAAAAAAAGGAAAATATTTATTTTAAGAACTTAAGATAAGTCGATAAAGAAGGCATAAAGGTCGTAAACAGAACACATTTAAAAACACCATCCATTCAGAAAGTTAATGAATGGATGAGGTTCGTGGGCAGATATAAGAATTTTGTAATCTTGTCCCACCTGTAGAGTCAAAATAAAAAACCTCGCACAACCATTAGACTAGACGATAACTTTCCATGTAAATTTAGAGTAAAAGGAAGTGGTTTATCCACAAATGATCTTAATTGAGCTTTTTAACGTAGGAATGATATTTCAAAAGCTGTATATTCAATAGAAACGCTAAACGTGGCAAACTTAAGTCCAGGTATTAAATTGGAAGAGGTGTAAAGATGTTCACATATTCTATTGCCCCAACGGCTGCATGTCAGTCATTTACAAAGACACCTTAATTGATATTAGTTGTTCACATAAACTAGCGAATACAATTTTATGGACGCATACTTCATGCAACTATAAGAACGGTCTACGTCATAGTTTGCATAAGAATCTGAAGCAACAATGATATTATCGACAGACTGTTTCCAAGATTTCGGATACCCACGCCGACGAGTAAATATGTTATACGTAGCAATTTCAACATTAAACACCAGGCTTTAAACAGAATTTTGAATAATCCAAACTTATCATTGATGTTCCTAAAATTCTGATGACTAGATCAGAGACTTCAGACTTAATTGATGCCAACTTAACTGGTCTGTTCGGAGCGTGCTTCCAGCAATAAACAGTAATTTTATTCCGTAGAAGTCTGTCCTGCAAAACCAACTATTGACTCAAAGCGGTTGCACAACACAAAATGATAAGAGTTGAAATTGCTTTAGTAAATTAAAAATATTGAGCTAGGTCAGTGTGTGCCAAACCTGGAATTTCATTAGCAGATGGATTGAAACAATGTGCAGAATCCGATAAAGATGCTGAAGTTGAATAGTGTAATAAAACAAAATCGACGGAAGTGGCAAAAATCCAAAGACCTTTATTCTATTAATTTTTGGGAAATACCTATCGTGGTCTGGTATTGTCTTATCAGAACAGGTGAATGAATCTGGTATTTGGATAAGTCTGTTACTACTAAAGTCGCATCTATTAAGATATATCTTGGTATATCTCTGCCTAAAAGAAGTTATCATTTCTTTGCGAATTCAAACCGACCCCCTTTAAACTAGATCCATTGAACAAAGTACAAATTCCGATGATTGCGAGGTTTTCTAAACTAGTCTATCTTTCTTGGGGAGTATTTACCTCAAACTAATATGGGTCATTTTATTTGTGAAATGAACATTTTGTATATAGTAATCTACCTTTTTAGGCGAAAAATTACCTCAAACTCATGTAGGTCCTTTTATTTGTAAATTGAACATTGTGTATCAAGCTTTCCTTGAACGTGGTACTTTCCGTCGGGTTGTTTTTCAAAGAATGGGTAATCCATTGTCATTAATAGCCAATATTTTATATTTAGAGATGAGTTCAAAACTGTGTAAATTTAGATTTTACCTCAGATTGAAATTGGTAATCTCGTGGATCTATAGTAATATGTTTAAATGATTATAAATATTAAATGTTATAATATACTAGACATATCAACAGGTGGGTCTAGGTCACAGTGCACATTCTTTGAACTTTTAGTGGGTCAAATTCTAGTTAGACGAACTACAAATAAAACCTCCATGGAGTTATCTCATTGTTGGAATCCTGGTGTCTCATTGGACAACAAACAGATATGGATTGATAATGATTATGTCCACGTAGAAAATAATGAAGCAATACTGGCCTGAAAAGAGTAGAATAGTAGCGGAATATAGATTCTCTTTCAAAATGTATTAATAAAGCCATAGATTAGGGTATACTAGTAAATAATGCCCTTTCTAAAAACATATCTGAAGATTAACTGTTCGCCAATCACTAGTATGTTTTTTCTCGTCTTCCACAAACAAAAGATAAATTATTATCTGATTATTCTAGATATGCCATTACCAACAAAATAATTTTAAGTCACTACGCCATTTGCATTCTATCTAAATATTCGCGGCTTAATCAACACTAATGTACTCAAATTGATTATTTAACATTTAATTACCCCCCCCCCCCCCACACACACACACACACACCACCTCTCTCCCTCGGAAAATATCAACGGTAGACAATCGCCCGGCTTGGATTCGTCTGATCAAGACCCATAAAAAGATTTTATCTGAACTTATAGGTGACGCTGACACTGATTTATTTTATGGCCTTGAATCAAAACAGCCCAAAATTGCTCATTACGACCATGCAAAAATCAAAACTGTTATTTGTTATTGTAACATGCTTAAGGGTGAATCTTGCGTTTTGATGGGTCGATTAGACACTGTCTATTGGACAATAACACCCCTCTAAATTAGAAAAATCACTGCGTATTAATATTATGCGTACTACTTTAATGGAGATAACCACAATGATTTCGGTACAATAGATGAAATATTTGGAGATATGTCCGAAGATGAACTTGGAACGCCCCCCCCCCCTGTCAGGTAACAGCTGCAAACAATAAAATATTCAAAAATCTATTACAAAAACAGAAATTTTGTTTCAAAAAAGACTTTTAAAAAATGAAGTGAGAATATTTTAGGTTTTTTTTGTGTGTCTATACTCATACAGCTACTATAGCAACCAGGAAATAAGCGAGCCAAATCTTACATGAGCAGCCAGTTACCCCGCTACGTCATGACGTTTTCATTACGTCAAAATTGATTTCTTTGGTTTTTACGTCACTAAATACGATTTGCAGTGAGACGAATTTTGAAGTTTACACAATAAAATAAGTTCTGTTAAAATTCTAAAACATAGCATGTTACAATGTCGATGTGTTTATCTCCTAAACAATCCAATTTGAATTTTGACCGTTTTGACAATATGTCGTTTATGCTGTCTGCACAGGAGGACGAATGTTGCGAAATTTTCTATTCATCATTATCTTCTGAACGCAATTGGAACTATTTTGGGCTTGATGTATACTTTTTGAGATTCAACTTTTACAATATTGTTGTTTGCAAAGATTTTTAAAATTTTCAAATGCTGAATATCACAGCATATTTAATATAACCAAAGCATATTCGTATGCTGACCATCACGAGCTGTTGGATAGCCCTGTAATAACAAACACAATATTTTAAGAACAAACCTTACCTATCCACATGCACAGTAAAATTAATTTGTTTACCGATTTTCAGAGCAGTGTTGTTCAGAGGTTTGGTGATGCCCGGGCCCAAGTGAGAAAGTGAGACATGTAAAAACATATGAAATAAACCTTTTTTTTAAATAATAATTAAACATGTATTATGCAAGAGCTAAATCTGCATATTGTAGGTCTTTCTTTAGGTCTGAAATGTTATTTAAATCATTAATTAGACATTAATTAACTTATTCAGACCATAATCAACTCTCGATGCCATCGCTAGCCTATGATATTTTGTGGATTGGAATACATTTTTTGAAAAATAATTAAATGTAAAAATGGTTAATCGAGACTTTGTTTTTTTTATCGTACCGACTTTAGTAATGATGATCGAGGCTAGCCTAAAAGTCAAAAGCTAATATCTCGGATCAGATTGGAGCAATTTGACTGACATTTTCAGCATTTTCTATTTTGTAATTATTATAGCGAGAACTGTCAACTCTTTATCTAATCTCCCATAATGCGCCTTTAAATAGGACAGTTTTAGAACTGCGATAATTTCAATTTAAAAAAAAAAGAAATAAAAGAAACTGAAATGGATGTAATGGCATTTGACCTCCCTCCACTGTGTCATAAATTACATTAGATATTCACAGTTTGTATTTTGATTTGTTTTTCAGGTGGTCGAAGATGCAGCTGTCTGATCGGATAGGATATCTACTGGCAGTGGGAAATATAATCGTGCTGCTTTTGTACATTCCGAGGACATTATGTCAACATTTACCATCTCAAGATGAGGACAAGTTTGAATTTGATATCAACGAACTAGATATATTTTACGATACTCATGTGATTCCCGAAAGTGTATCGGTGCCAGTGTATCTTTATAAAGGAAAATCCCAAAAGTAAGTACTTCCTATTGATGGCTAGGGGGAAACAAGATATACCATATCAAATTCATAACAGTTTCAGGATAGTAGCTTTCGAAGTCAGTTGTACTTTTATATTCGAAAGTATGATATTATCCTCATCACCACATTAAAGTACATATGTTTTTGGTGAAGGCATAAAAATTATAAAATCGATTTATTGCTGTCGGGGCTGGATTAGGGCCTAGGGCCCGCGCTCTTTGGGGCCCCTCGTAATCATTCTCTGTGTTCCCCCAAGCTCCCGCCTGGTTCATTAGATCCTCTCAATAATCTGCTGGTACAGTAGCCCTGATATAAGCAACGGGTCGGGTGACCGCCAATAACAATAATAGATAGTTGCACCCCATAATATACTAATGTCCAAAAGAAAGTGTACACACTAAAAAGTTTTATTTAGATAAAAACACATTTGATAAAACATTACTGAGTTTGTCTCTTGCGTCCAAACTCAACATTTCTAAGCAAAATAAAAAGCGAAACAAATTGACATTGTACCCAAATGCTGCATACAATCAAAACACGACTTTGGTTTATGCAGCACGAAATGCACAGTGTATACTTTCTTTTGGACATTAGTAGTTTCATTACACCAATACTTTGACTGAGTTCGATAATGAACATTATCTGCTCATGGTATGAAGAGCGATAAGCAATTGGCCGGATTGGTCGAGAATTTAGAACACAATAACCCTCCTTCTAATTGACCAACAATGTTCACATTTGATGTAGGTGTTTATTAGGTGAATGCCTTGATGGAGTTCGAAGATGAGAATTGTTGCTACGGCTAACCATACATAAGCAATTTGATTGGTCGATGCTTTGGGAGATAACTTTAGTTCTAATTAAGTGAGAGTGATGAAATTTGGTGTATAGTTTATCACATCAATACCTTGACTAAGTTCGATAATGAACACTTTCTGCTGAAGGTGAGCTAAGTGATATGCAATTTTATTGGTCGATACATTTGAAAAAGATAAACGTGCAATTAATTAATATTAAATTTCATTATAAATAGAAGCCAAGCACAGCGAATTCAATAATTATGCTGTCGCATTCGGCAAAATCGATCAATAGTAAGTGGACCCTTCATATAATAGAGAGTTTCAGATGTACTCCGAGATCAAGAACGAGAACGAGGTGATTCCCTTTTTGCATGCTACGTCACCAGTTCGGCGGTAGCCGAACTCGCTCGTGAAAACGTATTGGACCCTCTGAAGTCGTAAGTAAATTCCGTGGTGGTTTAATTCTATTTTAGCAATTTTTTTCATAATTATATCGAAACACATCCCTTTCAAATATACCATCCTTTGATAAAACGAATCAACACTTTCAAACAGTGCACTTTTTGTTCTCCTGAGAACGATGACAATTTCACCTCGTTCTAGGAACGCATCTGAACCTTTCTAATAAGATACAATAGTAAGTGACATCACTGTCTCCATATTCAATGCCAATAGCTACCCAAGTGTAACCTGATGCTACATGTAATCAGGAGCTTTCAGAAAGCAAACTAACGTTTGAGAAGAATCAGGTTACATCTGTAAATTCGCTTCCAATCTATCCACACCACACATAGATCTTTATTAGTTCGTTTTAAAACAAGATCACGCGATTTAATACTGCCATTTATTGTTCGCACGTGTTTGTAAGAAAATATTAATACTCATAAATAAAACTGTTAAAGGATATTTCATTCATATATGACAGTTAATGATACTGGTTTAAGGGGATTTTTTCATCATATTATAAATCTTAATAAAGGTTGACAATTCTAATTAGACCCCGTTCCCATCACAAAATATATTTATGTACTATTTTCTTTCTTACCGAACAAACATAAAAACCCACTATTATCTTTATTTTCTGTCAAATTTGTATTATTTATTACATAATGAACCGGATGGGGTTTATTTCTTATTCGCACTAAGGTATAGTTCAACTCGTTGATAAATCATCTTATATCTTAATACTGTACATGATATATAATATGTAGATTTCAGCCTTTTTATAATATTTTATTTTATGTGGGTTGTAAAGCTCTTTAAAATATACTACTTGTTCTAAAACTACAGCTAGCTGGGATAAACGCGATGCTTGATATTCCCAGGAGTCTTATAAAAATCAGGATGCTAAGTCATTCAACTGTTAGTAGTAACTCATTCACATCTTGATGTAATGTTGATAGTCACAGCCTATAGGTGGTTCTCTCCTATGCACATGTTCAGACGTGAAAATAAACTCAGCAGGACCTTGATTATCTGCCTTAATACTCATTACTGCCAACACGTGGAAAGGTATTGGCACTGACCCGAATAGTTTCAGGAACCTGTTAGCGTCTGGGTCATGTATTTTAACCAAATCTCGTTTCCTAAAACCGCAATCTAACATACATGGAATGATAACACTATGAAATAGATATGTTAGTAGAGCAGGTGGTATAAACAACATTGGTTATATTATATTTTTATATTACTTCAGTATCATACACTATTCATATGGTTATGTAATATTAATGTATTTATTAAGCGATGGCAGAATCTATGCTACCTATTGGAGATTTTGTAAATCTACATAAATTTTTGCTCTTCAGTAAATTAATTTAAAGTGTTTCCGATACGGTACAAATAGAATAGCCATGTGGTTTTTCTAAAATAATTCAGACGTAAAGAATGACTTCCTTGTGCGGTAACGTTTGAGGTGTGGCCACTAGCAGACGATTACCCCCAGAGAATCAGTAGTAGTCCGTATAGTTTCCGAAATATTCATTTGATTGACAAATTAATCAACGCTTGACGGCTTCGACTATATTCTAATCACGGGCAGCTGTCACTGATTTGATAGTTATTCAAATGCATCTACACTTTTCCTTTGTGAAATTAAACTTTAGTAAGTCCCATCCCAACTTCCGATTTATGTAGAGAAAATGTTTGTTAATTTAGTGTTTTATATGCTCCACTGCCCTTGAAATCTTGGTGTTAAAACGAGGGGTGGGAAATGGACACCCAAAAAGCAAAAACAATTCCAGATGAAAATTTGTGGCATATGAAATTGCTTCTATATGATGTCTTATCGGTGATAACCGAGTTATTGTGACGTTACATATTTGTGGGTGAGGAAATGTAATTATCCCCCCACCACCCAAAAACGTACTACGGCTAAACTTTAGTGTTTGCTCGAGTTGTATACACCCATATAACATCATGGTCATTAGGAAGCTCAAGTTTCTGTAAGAGAGGGGCAAGGCGGAAGTCCACATTTAGCAAATATTTCACTGAATGGCTTCCCAATACAGGAAGAAGTATCTACACCGAGTAACCAATGACTGCATCAGTGCTGTTAAGATTTATATAAAAACATGTCGTTAAATGACTCGACAGAATATTGACACCCGTGTTAACGGTAATCAATCTAATGATGAGAAAATATTTGACCCTTTTACTTTACATTCGTCTGTGAACAGCAGAGCTGATGGTGATTTTCTACCCAAGCTCTTCCCCCGGGCAAGGTACGCTTACATGGTCAAATTCGTAAAATTTCAGTGTACGTGTACTTCATTAATTTAGTTTTACAAGAAGTTTTGTATTGGTTGCCTTTTTTCTATAAAGCACTGTTAAATATGTACTAAGACTACAATTCTTGACTATATGTGCCATATTAACAAACAAAAATAGACAATAATCGCTTTACCGTTCTTGTTTACATTCATATCATACATACCCAACTTGTAGAGAGACATCCCTCCATTAAATCTAAAACTGATACCTGTAAAATAGATCTAATGGGTATTGCACCATAGTTAAATATGTGAACCCAATTTTACTGTCTAAAGTATTGGCGTTTAAGATTAAAGCAAATATGCTGGCATGCCTTTGTTTTATATATATTGTTTACCAAAAGGAAGGGTCATAGGTGTTTACTATCTGGACAATGAATGGCAGTGTCGGAACTCTTCCGCCATGGCAAAATGCAACGTACCAGACACAGACTTATGTCCTGTGATGTCATCTGACATCTCTTCAATATAACGCCTATGCGATAAACTCCAATGAGGGGCCATCACAAACCGGACGTGGAATGGTCATAGGTCTTCTGATACTAAGTATGCAACGACGTTGTAATGCTAATTTGGAAGTCACATGAAATGAAATGAAATGAGGTTTAACGTCCTACTGTTCTGCTCCTATACTGGGCTAATGAAGACGGGCATACGCCATACAGTGTGCTATGAGGAAAATTTTGCCCGGGCAGCGGCACTATCGCCTACTCTTATATCGAATTCCAAGGGATCTTTTACGTGCATTCCAATGTTTACACGGGACCTCGGTTTTTCGTCTGTCCTTGTCAGGCCCTCCGTCCTGCATCACTGACAAGGGGAAACCACGTCGGAAAATCGGGATGAACTTTCTCGGCCAATGCAGGGATCGAACACCCGACCTCCAGGCTAGCGAGCCAGCGCCTTACCCACCTAGCCACCGTGGCTCCCAATTTGGAAGTCAAAGATGATTCTACCCGTTACACAATGAGAAGTCATATCTGAGTATTCGGAAGATGGGACTTTTAGTATGTGTTCATGGGGTCAAACGGAAACAGTATCCTTATGTAGAATTCATCGCCTCCTTTTAAAATCTTTTGAACAAATTCGAGAAAATCAAAGACAAACGCGTGTTAACAAACTAGCAACTGTATTGTGGCTTGGCTTTTCATATTTATGTCTCACTTTTATGGCTGGAGGTGAAAGCATATGTTTGTATCGAAGATTAAGTAGCAATTTAGCAGGGTGGTAGATACGGGGTTGCTATACCAGACTTGATCTCGTTAGTTTCCTGATAGACGTTTAGGTCATGGTAGATATAGGTTCCATATGTCTTATAAACCATTACAGGCCATATTCGTTTTGCTCCAAATCTCGCTTTTCGTATAAACAGGAGTCGACTAAAGAGGGTATAATAATTAAAGATCTATATCTTAGAGTATTAAACAGTGTGTATTGGCAGCGAAACATCAACCTTGGCTTATCGTTAGATCAAATTACCGCCAATTCACGTTTACTATTTAACATTATAGTACATGTCTACGATTTTTACGCCAGGCACTCTCCCCATTTCTGCACTTAATGCACCCTTGGAGAAATGACGAGGCTTGTCATGGTTGACCGAACTGCTATATATTTAACTGCGTAACACAGCGGGCAGAAATCTAAGTGTTATGGGAAATGGTATAACAGATTTCATTAAAAGACGCGCAGTAGAAGCATATTCTTTAGAGCCTTTCAGGGGGCAGTTTATGTGTAAATAAAAACAACAATTCTACATGAAATAAATATTATGCATGTGAAGATTTGGGCTAATAAATTATCAACAAGACACTAAACATCACGTTTCTTTTGTAGAATGATCTGAAACTTACAAATTAATAGGTCTAGTATATATAGTTGCTATTAGGTTTGTCCTGGCTAGTAAAGTGATGTAAAGATTTAGATACACACGTGTTAAGTTTGATATTTAAGGTTTCTAAATCTGCAAAAGTATGATCATAGGTGGATACATTATCAAACGAAGACTGAACCTTGAAATGGACAAAAATGTTTCTAAAAGCACATATTAATGTTATATTGATGTACAGTATGTAAAGTGATTTATATTCAATTTTGGAAAAAAAATATTGTAACTTCTAATCAATTATGTTCGGTGAAATACGTCAGCAGTTCAAATTGAGGGCAGTCGCTTACACCTACTTTTTTAGATTTTTATTTTGTCATGTTGTAGTTAGTATATGTTTTTATTTGTTCGTTACAAAATAAAACTCGTGTACTGTTTATAAAATGTTAATTGTGTCTTGAATATTGGATATTAGGATCCTATAGTTTCACGGCAAGATAACAAACATCAATATTGATTGAAATTGATCAATATTGAATACTAATTCGTGTTTTTAATTTCGAATTTTATGGAAAATAATGATTTAGAGACTTAGCTCCTTTAATCTAACGGGGGAGTTGGATGGCCGAATGGTTAGCACGTGCGTGCTGTATCATAAGGCCTGTCATTGAGTCGACTGGCGTGGTTTCGAACCCCAGGTTGTACGTGACAAGGAGTAGGGTCGCCTGTCCAACCTCGTGGGGTTTCTCCCGATCCTCCGGTTCCTCCCACTGCTAAAGACCCCTACGCGCAAGCGAATTACTGAAAAAAAATTAAACCATATGTTAGTCCCGAAATGACCTAGTTTGTGTCGAGTGGACGTTAAACCCCATTTCTCTCTCTCCCCTCTTTAATCTACTAATGACCTCAAATTTGAAATATAATAGTGACATTATTGTTCTGGTGGTAACCGACCGATAACTACAGAGCTGGGCTGTTGTTATCTGAATTGCCCATTCCAAATTACCCGCAAAAGCTAGGATTCTTCAACATCATTTTCTAGAAATATATTCAAATGCACCCAAAAAGTCAGTCATTAAAAAAAAGAACTTGAATAGTGCCACTAAAAATGTACCAGTCTCTGCAACTTTTTTACTAATTGGTTTAATTTCTATTTTTCTTTTTCAGTTATTTTTTCAGGGTGGAGAAGAATAATTTGCCCCTAAAAATTATTTTATCCCCATGTTCTTCATCAATTAATTGGTCAATAAAACGGCGAGACATTCTTCCTGATATAGAAGACGATGACGGCAACGATTACGAGGATATAAACGGTAATATTACAAACGCCTAGGCAATTTTGGTTAATTAAACTAGGTAACAATTAAGGTCCAACAATATGTTTTAGCGCGCAAAAATATGTGGACGCTAATATAATAAAGGTACAAATTTGCACTAGGATCTTCATAACTAGACACAATTGCAAAAATGACATTTAAAACTGTATGTTGACATGTAAAGTTGATTCTTATTAAGGTTCTATATTATGATACTTGTGTTAAATATCTATACATTCCAAACTGATTTAAGGGCATCGGTTGCGTTTTGGTCATAACTATGTGTATTTTCATAAACCGTATGACTTGTTTTTAAACCTGGCTGTATGTTGAGTGGTTATTCTGGTAAGCATAATGGAAATGCATGTGACGTCTCTCCAGTGTGGCGTCATAGGCTAAGTATTTAAATATCCGTTTTTCTGAGTGGTGCCTTGTATCTTCTGTACTTGAAAATAACATTTTTTTTTTCAATCATTTAGAATATGGTTGACTTGTAGGCTTTGGTATCTTCTGTCGCAAAGAATCTACAATTATAATCTAATAAGGCTAAATCACACTCTTTCACCCTCTTGCTTATACGGTATTGGCTTTGGCTGTTTAAAATCATTATTTAGTATAGTATTGGATATGATCACAATTCTAACTAGAATAAATGCACAATATATGCCGAGTAAGCCAAGCTATACTTTCCATATATATAGAGAAGGTCGTCTTGATTGGGTTCGAGAATCTAGTAATTGGTCTGTGAAGCTGTATCCTATGTTATTTAAGTCTAGACATGATCAATTACACATACAAAACTCCATCATTACCATGTCGAGTTCAATCCATTTCAGACGTTGTATAATAATGATGTCATTTTTAGTGCTAGATAGAGATATATCTTCTTCCGGGTCATGATACACGTATATCGACATTGGAAAGGGCTAAATATATAATTTGAAAGCTTTATCCAGTAAAACATGAATTAATATATAAACACCTACCGCTGATCAGATATACAAATTATAACTTACACCAAGGTGGCATTCATCAACAGGTGTGTTTACTCAGAACAATTCCTGGTTAAATAACCCAAGCTCGAGTTCAAACCGATTACTAAGAACTTATGACAATTTGATTATACCAAACATCTATTGCACTCAATTTGCTTGTTTTTGTTGCTTGAATCTTCAAACCCATGAATTAAATAATCACCTTCATATGTGCTCGGGCTTCAGAGCAACTTGAGCACGAAATACTATTCTGCACTTGCTTGGACAAGACTTGGTGCACCTAACAACCGCCTGTTCCTATATTTTCTATAAAGTCAGTATTTATAGTTAGATCCAAACGAAAAAGTAAATGGATATTTAGAGGGAATTCGGTTCAGAACCTATATGCCATACAGGCATTCCTGGAATTGGCACAATTATTGTTGTTGAAATGTTTTTCTGTAGTTTCTTCTGATTGCCTTTATCACTGTGATGATGTTTTTGCAGGCAGTCAAATTACTTCAAGTGCAAATAACCTCCGTAAAATAATCTCCATTTATTCTTGCTAATGTAAATCTTCACCTAAAATTTAAAATTCACTCTGATAAATGTATAATCCTATTTTTTGAGTAATTAGTTCGTGTTCAGACTTTGCGTTGCATGTCCATTGCCAACATTTTCGGAGGGTTACCTCAGGGACCAATGGATCTAAGGTGTAAATCATGACTATTCCTCTTTTTCAGATCGAGACCCATTCCATGCTCAAAGATCTAAGAATCAGAACCCTTTATCACCTTATACTTTTCTAGGTAACTTTACTGGTAAGGAACCTACAACCTACTATCTGAGACGTGCTGCATCTGGATTATATATGATAGAGATATTGTCTCTCAATAGTGATACCACTGTAGACTTATATGGAAGTACAACGTCTTATCCCGTTCATCTGAAACCATCACTGCCTAATGATAAATCAGTGTCTATTACTTCTAAATCTAACAGAATGTTTACTTTCGAATGGAAACAGAGTAGTTTTGAACTTGGATTTAACGATTCGTTGGAGTATTGTGTGGCTGTGAATAGAGTGAAAAATTATAAAACATATTGTGAATTAATGGCAAAGGTCTTGGTGCAACGCAAAACCAAATCGTCCGGCGGTTGGGGATTCAGTTGGGAACAAACACAAAAGCGCCAATTAGACAAAAAGGGTGCCCGCGGTAAAATAATTTATGAGTGTATCGGATCTAAGACAAAGTACACGTTTAACAAAGCTAAACCAGGAAAGACATATCATGTAGATGTGTTTGTTCTCAACAGAAAAGTCAACACAGTTGCAGCTTATTCTGGCATCAGAGTGAAAACCGAGCGACGAAAAAAGAAAAGAAGAAAGGCGTTGCTGCAAGATGGTAAAAGAAAAACCATAAAATTACGTAAAGGTTCAAGCGAACAAAATGTTATGTTTAAAGTCGAGTCAAGATTAGATTCGGCTGTTTTAGAACTGAAATCATGCCGCGGTAAAATACCTATTACTATTTACCATGGTAATAAAAACATTCACCAAACGGTGGTTTCTCGGATGAAAGTGCTTCGTATGAAGAACCTCCCTGTAGGTGTATATACTGTCAAATTAACTGGCAATAAAAATAGAAAGAGAGTTTTGTCGATGCTTTTTACAACGGCGACGTACAAAAAACCTAGGTTGCCATACAATCCGGAAATAAAGGTAATTGACAGTGTGTCGACATGTCATTCAGTGACTCTTTCTTGGTCGCTCACCAGCTTAAAACAGAGATACTGTTTGTACGTGCGAGAATCTCCCACCATTTCTAATAAAAGAAGTCATCATTGTCTAGAAATGGCAGGGCGAAGGAAAAAAGACAAAGTGATGTGCGTACGTTTAAAACGGAAAGATCGAGACAAGGCAATCTTTACATATATTGTAAAGTCACTTAAATCTGACACAGACTATGTATTTGATGTTTATGTGAATAGGGGAATCGGTGCATCATTAGCATACCATAGCATCGTTACGCGGACTAAACCCGATTGCACTGAATGATTTAATGGCGAAAATCCCCTCAATTATATATCTTCGACTCCTCAAGCCGCGGGAGACACCACACGGGCTGGTTCCAAACTCACAACCGACTAAAGCCAGTTGGAAAGATAATTTCCGCAGGCTTTTGGTATAAAATATCTCGAGCAGAGCATTCTGTCTGTTCTAGTATGCCAGTTTGATGTTGTGTTGTGTGTGTGAGCGATCACATTGTGAATATTGTGAATCTAGTCCACTGTGCAAAAAGCTTCCTTGAAGTTACAGATCTGACAACCAGCGTATTGCTTACGGTTCGTGCAAAACTAGATGTCTGTAGTAACGGTGGTGAACAAGCAGATGCTGCTTGCAAGCAGATCCAAAGTTAGACAGAGCTTATTCTGGGATTTTTATGTGTTTTATTGGTATATTTTGTTTACATTATAAGGTAAACCCACGATTATAACATGTTTCACATCATATTGGAAATTGTTCCAAAATAGCACGCTTATATCGGAGTATATACATTAATAAATTGTGCTTAACAAATTAGTCCCCGTCAATCGCTGACGTGTTCCAACACATCGCAAGGACGGTCTATAAACGCTTTCGTTAGGTATATATATGACCTGGCGTTTTAATATGACAACAACATGTGTTTTATTAGTTTAGAACACAGTGTGAATGTTATACTAGAATTAATAGTGATAAACTGAAAAAGAATGTGGTGATAATATGAGGAACTAAGCAACTGATCATGTTCTTCAATAGTGCAGAAAGGGTAAAAAGGCACGATAAGTGTGTGTAAAGCCCCACTTAGAAACTGTCAAGTGTCAGAAACTAACGTGTATATAGAACAAATTTGATTGCATATGGAATCTATATGATATTATGATAACAAGGATAGTGGAAACGCATTTGTATAAAATTGTAAACATTTGAAGTGCTCAACAATTGGCTGGGGATTTCGGGGCCTACCCAAGGGGTGTGAAATGCATTTCTAACAGATGGCCATTTCCAAGACAATTGTAAAAAAAGACGTGTGTGTGCCATGATAATAATGAAAAAAATGATACTTGTACTAAACCAGAGAGTGAACTACAATGCATACATTGAATATTTTAACTAATTTTTATCAATGCTTAAATATTTTATGAGCAACAAAAATCCTGTGTTCTTTGTTTTCTTATTATGTTCTTGAAAGACGATGTTCTTCTATGAAACACACTACGACCCCCTCCCCCAACATTTATATTTATAAAAAGGTGCGAGAGGAATGGTATATATATATAAATATATAAACATAAACATATTTGTTATATATATAGTGGATATCCGCGTCGTGTAATGGGTTGGTAAATATTTCTTTGTGACTACCATGTTGGTTTTTGTCTTACTGTGCCACAACGTAACCAATCACCATGTCTATAATCTTGAAATCCAAAGATGGTATTTTATTAGGAGAGGACGAGTCTGGGTTTAAAGCTGGTAATTGTAACTTTATTCTAAAGCGAAATATATCTGAGCTTTTAGTTAGAAACATTTTTAATAAGAAAATAAGACCTGAAAATAAATGGCAAATTATCATTAATAGTTGAAACCGTCACTGGCCTGGCTTTCTTATAGACATGTATACACGTTTCATCAGATTTTATTCGACGCGTAAACACATAGAAGAAAAGTAATCTAGATGTGATTAGTAACGGCTTCAACCTGGCCATGTGGAATATCTTAGGCTTAGTTTGTGTTAAAGATCAGACAAGATATAGAGTCGTGTTTTCTGTAGAAGTATGTGGATTCATTAGGGTATCCATCATCTTATTTTATCAAATAAAAGGTCTTTTATTTCTACAGCACCCATTACTAACTGTCGGCCAGTTATAATTTCACCCCTTCATAAAACACATCATTTCATTCCGTGCAATTTATAAAATTATTGCAGTGTTCTTTATCAAATAAATTACATTGATAGCAAGAGATGTAATTTGACGAGGAACGGTGACGACTATAGAATAAGCAGTTAGCTTGTACTTTTACTGTATTTTTGTCATGGTGATACCTTATACATGTAGTAACATTCTATGAGTACTTAGAATATTGGTTTTCTGATAGTATATTTATGCATTCTTAGATTGATGAAGAGCGCACTTAGACGGGGTTAATATTGAAACCGACTTTAACATACAAGATATTTAGGAACCTGATTACAATACTACATGTCGTAAGGTTGTATTCGGTGAACTGTTGCATCGTCGTTTTTTTTTTAAAAAAATGATCCGAATTCGGGTTTCAAGAGGCCCTTAACATGGTTTATTTCCTATATCGCATTATCTTCCAAAATCCCGCGCACCCAGCTCTCAAAGTTCAACTGGACAAAGCATTTTATTGGTTAATATCGTGGGTTAACGTCATCTTGGCCTTCCTTTGGTCCGCTATTGTTAGCTACTTTGGACAATCTAGTTGTATTTAAGCCTTGCCTACACCCGACATTTGATTGGCATGTTGCTTAATTTACTCGGTAGATACAACCTTGCTATTGCCAAGAGCAGTTAACTGTTATGGGCTAAGGTGAAAGTGAGGTAAAAAAGCGGCCTTTATTCCAGCTATAAAGTCTGTGTTTTAATCAGATACATGTCTTTTAAATTAAATTGTGTAGGTAAACTATCCAAAAGACGTTGATATTCACTGAACATCCTTATACAAAGTTAGATAATTTGAACGCGGCTTGCATGTCCCTTTGCACCAAAATCTATGTTCCTATAATACACAACGTTTCGTCACCTTTTGAATATACTTCTCATTCTATAGGACTCCATCAAGAATCATCATAAAGGAATATAGTTTCATTTACATATTTCTTCAATCATTGGCTAATATTTGAAAATGGTTCAGCATTACTATTCATGGAATTAAAAATAGTATAAATGTTTATTTGTTAATCCATTTGTACATGTATATCACATAATTAGAGCTTACATATTCAAGTATATGTATATGTATATTATTATTAATTGAATCTATCGGAGTTTATTTGTGATATGTTTGTTATCTTCAATAAGCAATCTACAGTGTAGGTGGGCTAATGGTGTGAATTTGTTTTTCAAGTCTCTTACAATTTCAGTTCATCTTTAAAAAAACAAGCTTTTGCAAGTGTGTTGAGTAATTATTCTTTAAAAAAAAAATCCATAATAATTATCTTATCTTTTAGATTCAGAAGTGAAATATCAATAAATGTTTCAAGATAACCAAAGTAAATCAGGATATTAAAAAGCCCGCTTAGATATTAAGTTTAAACAAAATAAAAAGTAAAAATGTAATACGCCCAATAACCGCGATAAACCTATTAAAATTGAAATAATTATTTAAATGAAATATAATAAGTACGTGTTTTTCAGATTTAATGAAAAAACTATTTTTACTCTTAGATAAATATGCTAATCAAAATATTATGTACTGGTATATAATAACTATTCGTTTTTATCTCTGATGTTCAATCACATTAAAGTTCATAGTTTATTTGCTTGCTATTTGTCTATATATATTCACGTTGGAGGTTGTGATATATGCTGAAATTCATATTATATAAAAAGAATGCATATGATATAGATAATCATTATAAACAAAAGGCTCATCAAGGTTTTTATTTGTTATCAACTAGTCTGTTGCAGTATTTCCTATCTGTTATAAATATATATACGGTCAATTTTTGTAGATATATGCCTTTATTTAATGTTAATACTGTTAATGTTGGTAATATTAATATTCATGTAATAAATTGCCATAAAACAAAACATAAATTGTACTGTTTTCATTTACATAGATATAGTGTAGACAAATGATATTGCTGATACCCGATGACAGTGAGCGACACACAAAGAAACCGAATTTCAATGTAAATTTATGATATCCAGTGAACGAATCGGGAATAAACAGTTATGGTTCTTTGAGTAAGTGGGATGTAAACACGTATTTGGGAAGCATACATGCAGAAATCTATGTTTGGAGGAGCTAGAACGATAACCCTGTCACTAACATAGATAGCAAGGTGCGAGAATTCAACATGTGCTATGTAATGTAGGCCACTTAAACAACTCACTAGATCTACTTGAATCAAGAGGAAAATTAATCACCAGTTTATCTTAGATACCTATCAACTTAATTCCTTCTGTAACTCGCACAAAAAAATCTCTTCAAAATACTTGCCAACATGTTCTTGGTAAAAATAAAACGGTTGTGCCATTATCACCAGTTAAATATGTTTAAAATATTCATTGATGGCAGGGATATAGAATGTGTTTAAAGAGACGAGCCACGTATTCAGATAATAAAATTCCATTATATACAAACAACACAGATAAAATTATTTTGGTTTTGCACGACAGAATATTGGCCTATGTCTCCAATTTTTCATTACTGATACACGTACATTATATCACCTATTACACCGACCCCAACCCACCCCGCAACACGTTTTGTGGTGTTCTGGTGTACATTCAATGTATCTCTAGAGTCTAAGCTAGCTTAGAGTCCGAGCCAAGATTGCAGAAATATGTAAATAGGGAACAAAATATCATCTTAGGTCTAATACTTCGGGCACTGAATATAATTTCAGGTGTTATCTTATATTGGGCACTGAATATTATTTTAGGTCAAATACATAGGACACTGGATATTTCATCTGAACTACACAAGCCACTAAATATTATTTCAACCCTAAAACATAGGACATTGAATAGCATTTAATCTCCAATACGGAACATAACTTAAGCTTCTATTTCAGCTAGCTCCAACACATTAGACATTATGTTCCAGTACATCAGACAATGAATGACATTCCAACTTCCAATACACAGGAGACAACAAATCTTTTCGGCTCAAGATCAAGACTAAAGGATATCTACTACATCTTAAAAACATCTAATTATCAAGGACACTATGAAATGGTATCTACATACCTTGTGTTTTGAAACACCGATTTTCAACCAACTCCAATAATGCTACATAGGGATATTTTCACTAAAACTATCAACGTCTTCTTCTTCTTGTCGGGTTTAACGTCCGCTTCCACCCAAGGTGATGTCGCAAACAAATGTTTCCCAAGAAACTTGCATGAAGAACCAGTCGTAGGTGATAGGCTCTTGATGCATAGGTTGGAGATAGAGGAGCGATTCTGTCTTTACGGCGTGATAGGTGTATATGCGGAGAAAAATACCTGAAAACGGAAGTTTGGAATGAATAAGGAAATTTGTTAAACTATAAAACTATATACATTAGATTTTTGAATTCCATCCTCTGAACAAAGTTATGACGGCATAACTGTGTCAGCCATCGTTAAAGAAAGCTTTTCGAATTCTGTCTTTACAGAGTGACAGGTGCATACAATCTCGGCTCCCAGAGAGAAGATTACCGTTCGTTTCTCTCTCAGGGAATCACGCCGGCCATTAATCAGTCTGAATTCGGCTCCTAAGCTCCTCCCTCAGTGACCCCTGATTCGGTGGATTTGTTTGAATGAAATGCTGCCGATGTCTCGACAGTTAGTCTTCGGTTCGTCGCATGAGTTACATATTAAAGATCCTTGAAAAATTTTGCACATCTTCACATCAAAAGTCCATTCAAAAACAGCCGATTTGGTGATATACCGCGAACTATTTTTATAGCGCACAATGTGAGTGATTCGGCGATATGAGCGTAAAACACGCGAAATTTCTAAAGAAACCCGAGTTTGAGCCGCAATCGTGGATCTTTGTGAAGCGACCGGCAGCAGGATACATCACGTGACATTCAAGATGGCCGATGTATGGCTGGAGCGATTCCCCAGAGAGAGAAACGAACGGTAAACTTCTCTCTGGGAGCCGAGATTGAAGTGTATATATGCAAAGTGTATATGCAAATTCCTGAAAACGGCTGCTTCGAATGAATAAGGACGTGTAAAACTATTATGTTAAAACTCAATCTGATTAAAATACAGATCTATATTTCGTTTCGTTTTTTTATACTTCCGACGGCCTCTACTACATGAAGATCTGACCAGTTGTAGTGTGAGGTCGCTTCAGGGATCATAGGGCGGCTTTTGACCCTATGATGTCAGACATTTGATTAACCAATCAGCGTTGATGGTTCTAGTAGGATACCCACAGTTCCATGCATCGCACACCTAGAAGTCGTTGCAACAGACTTTCATTGGCTAATCCCTCACATTAACCCTCCTAGTGTAATAAAGACAAGTAAAACTAAATTTTAAACTATAAAAATCGAAACGAAATAGGATCTGTGATTTAATCAGATTTGTAATTGGTTAAAAATATGTGTTCCCGAATATTAGATTTTTGAATTTCATCCTCAGAACAAAGTTATGATGTCAAAACTGTGTCAACCTTCGTTAAAGAAAGCTTTTCGAATTCTGTCTTTACAGAGTGATAGGTATGCAGAGAACAATACATGTATGTTAAAACTATATGTACCCGAATAAGGGGGAACTCTATGTACGAAATTCTCAAACTACATGGTCAGTTCCTGGTCCACAGTACGCTCTTACTTGTTTGAAAACTTTGCGCATTTAAACTGAATGATAATTATTTGATTGACAGAGAATTAACAGCAAATGACACACAAAGACGTTAGCTAGATTAATGATTTATCGGAAGTGACGTAATTCGTAGAAAATGTATACATTCGCCTTCTCGGAACACTTTTGAGGTTGGAAATATTATTTTATCTCAGTTTTACTGGTATATCTGGACAGCCATTGAAAATGCCCAGAACCTGTTGGAGTCCAACTTTGAATATCGTTTCCCTGCAGTTTCGATTTAAAGGCTAAAATAATGGCCATAAGTAGCTTTTCAAGTTGTTTTTGTCATAACAGAGTTAATTATTGTTCGATTTTCAGTAGCGGATCTAGAAGCTGTGAATAGGGGAGGGGGCGGTTCTAAATCTAGGGCGCCATCCAAAATCCCACTCCACAATGAATGTCAACAAAATACTGGCTATAACACTGAGCGCCCGGTAGAACATAGATCGCATTCCCTATATAGTTGTTCGCCTATCGTTATCTCGCCGAAAAGCAGTTTTATTCAAGTTGACATAAAGTTCATGTCATGTTATGATTGTTACTAATTTTGTTTTGTCAACCTTAGAGAAGTGACTATAACACTGAGAAATCGGAAGGGGCCGGGTGTCTTGGGGAGGATTCTCCCTCTGAGAAAATTTGAGTCAATATCCAGGCTTTTGAGGTCAATGCTGGGAGCAGATTCTTGTGAACGAGAGAGAGGATCAGAGGTGTGAGTCAATGGGACAAAATATTAAAATCTGCCTGTCAATTCCGCCTGGTTTTTTTAAGAGTTTACGGAAAACATGTCTGTCGCCCCCTAAATCCGCGCCTGTCAATTTCAATACACTAATGAATGCAAATTTCAATGTTTATTACATGTTGCTAACGAGAAATGTTCATCGTAACCCGGAAGTACCGTCATTTATGATAACCATGGTTGTTTTGTATGGATATTTATTTTGCACAGAAAAGTGTCAATTATTATTTTGATTTTTTATAAAATGCCTGCACCGTATAAACTAACCACTGAGTCATTAGAGAGAGTCAGAGATCCTTAAACACCCACAGTCTTTGCATGTTTCTTAAATTATTTTCCCCCTAAAACTGTGTCAGTTTGACAAATGAATATCCTAACTATAAAATGCACACAGGGAACTGGTGTTACTGGATTGTTTAGTCTGATAGCGGCTCTCCGACATAGAGTTACCCCACATTACCAAATATTGAAATATTAATTCTAGCGTAGATGCATGGTACAGTAAGAGTAATAATAGCGATATATATAAATATACAGAGTCGGGTTTGTTGGTAAATCTGGCAGCCTTGTCTCTAAAACACCATAAATTATATTAGAAGATTATGAAGTTGACACATTGTTACAAATGCCTGTGGTATGTAGGCTATGCATAAAAGAATAAGTATATTACCATATACAAGGCAAGGGATCATACTTAATACATTCCATATCGCTATGATATACAGTAGATCAGACCCCATCCCTCGCTTTTTTGCGTAATAGCTTAAATCAGATTTCACACAATTACTACTACAGTACTTGTATCATATTCCTGATTTACAAGAACTTTTTTAAATGTTATATTTCAATACTGGAGAAACCTATTTTATTTCCGAATTACTACACCTGTATGTCATTTTCCTACATATATAATTCTAATGTTCTACAGAAAATATAATTCTTTTTTATGGATATTTATAGTAAACATTGTATGTAGTGTTTATTTTACCAAGTTTACATCATATGGGTGCAAACTATACAGAACAGCACAAGGTAGGACAAGCTAACTACTATTAGACCACAATATCACTTTCTATTCGAAGTGCCACTTAGAATAATATTGGGTGTTTTTATGTAGAAAGCTAACATATTATACATGTACATAGTTTGAATATTTCTAATGTTCAAATTAACTGACCTCTCCAAGATCTCAATTTCACCTCAATTAAATGTTTGGCAATACGTTTTTTTTGTTTATATTCTGTATAATATAATTTACTGAACAGATGAATCGAAGATGTATTTTCATTATATTGTCTATGTGAAGAGGGAGATATCATATAGACCCACATTCCACATCGACGTAAACTGTGGTTACCTGGGGGCGTGTTTGTATAAGAACGAACTCATATTGAAATTCAGAACCTTCCGAACTCAAAATAAATAGAAGTTTTCATGACGGTTTCAAGTTAGTGAATGTTTGTTTCAGCGGAAAAGTATTT